ACAGCCACCTAACCTCACCTGCGATACCCATAACGTAATCTATTATTTATTCTGCAACTTATGTCCTAATAGTGGATATATTGGTGAGTCTGGAAACAATTTCAGAGTTCGTTTTAAAAACCATAAACAAACAATACGTCAAAACAACCCTTATTCCCCTCATAGCTAAACACTACAATCAATCAGGACACACATTAGAAAACTGCAAATGTTTATTAATAGATTCCGATTTTACTTACACATTCACACGCAGAAAAAAAAGAAACATATTGGATTTTAAAATTAAATACACATAAACTAGGGTTGAATAGGGACTTAGGTGTTTTAAATCTTTATAAATATTTCAATAGTTAAGCATTTTTTTTTTTTTAGATATAGTAAAAAAAAAAAAAAAAACCCCAAATATTTATGACTTTTAGATTTAAGTTAGAATATCCGAACAGTGACGTTCCATATCACGTGACGTCCGCGTCTCATGAAGGAAGCTACTTGCTAACAAACAGTAATTTTAATTTATTTGTAACAAACAGTTATTTCTGATGAAAAATTGAGGACAATTTGAAATATCAAATATATATATATAAATAAATAAATACTTTCATAAAATAAAACATTTTAATTTTTAATTTGAAACTTTTTCTCTCTCTCTCTCTCTCTCTCTCTATATATATATATATATATATATAAATTTATTCTAGAATATTAATTATTTTTCAAAAACATAAATGTGTCTTTTCAAATGTGTCTCTCTTAAATTACCTCCTCATCTCTCTCCATTTTGATTCTTGGGAAGTTAGAGCGTCAGACTTCGATACATCTTGCGAAATACTGTAACAATCTGTATCTGCCCATAAGAAAATTTTCAAGGTTTATTTCCTGACAGCTTCGTGTTATGACTTATACATTTTTCCCGGTGAATTTGATTTTACCGTAAGTCATGTTTGATTAGTTAATCCCGGCAAAGTTTATTTTGTAAAGTATTCTGATTTTGAAATTAAATTAATATTTCACTCCCCAGTATGTTAACACCGCCTAAAGAGTCACATTTATCGTGGTGAAGCATAATTGTCATTGTGTAGCGATTTTTAACGAGTTTTAATATGCTCAGATATATAATATTTAGCTCTATTTTATATGGGTCTCTCTTTTAAATTAAATGTTACGTACAGTAGAATCATACTCCATTTTTTCTCATTTTACCTGTATATATATATATATATATATATATATATATATATATATATGTGTGTGTGTGTGTGTGTGTGTGTGTGTTTTGTGTGTGTGTGTGTGTGTGTGTGTGTGATAGTTGTATATTTAGGTATCAATCCTTCATTTATGCATGTTTCATTAAAAACGTCAGACAAGGTACTACGTTTAAGCATTTTATTTAATCTTTCTTGTGTTCAAACAAGAGTTTTCTTTTCTGGACAAAGGGTGTGTAAGAACTGTCCAAATGTTTTATTGTTCCGAGGGCTTTCGGCTATAACTTTAGCCATTATCAAGGATGATTTGATTTTTCAGCTGAATTGAGTGTGTGCATCATGTGTATGTTTTACTGTGTTGTAGAGATGTTTTTAATTTCCGAATACGGTTAGCACATTGTGGCTTTGTTCGTAGTTAATATTTTTAAGAGTTGTTTTTTTTCTCTTTTATTATTAAAGCTTCCATCATTTTTAATCTTTTTTTGACAAGTGGATGAAGTTATTATATTTGTGTTTTCTACTAGTATGTTTTCTATGTGTGTGTGTTTAAGTTTGTTCTAAAGGAGCTATGACCAGTTACACCTATCTGAGTATAGCTCCATATCTCTTTTTCGAACACAAAAATAAAATAAAAAGCTTAACCGTAGTACCTTGTCTATCGTTTTTAATAAAGCATGCATATATATATATATATATATATATATATATATATATATATATATATATATTGTATATTTAGGCAGCGATCTTTCATTTATGCATGTTTCATTAAAACGACAGACAAGGTATTACGAGTACGCTTTTTATTAATTTTTCTTGTGTTCGAACAAGTGTTTTCTTTTTTGGACACAGAGTGTGTAGAAATTGTCCAAATCTTCTACAATTCCTAGCGCTTTCGGCTGTACTTTTAGCCATTATCAAGGATGATTTTATTTTTTAGTTTGAGTGTGTGCGTTGTTTTTATGTTTTTAGTGTTAAAGAGGTGCTTTATTTTCCGAACACAGCGCATTATGGCCGTGTTCGTAGTTAATATTATTAAGTGATGGCTTTTTCTTTTTTATTATTAAGGCTTCCATTATTTTTAATCTTTTTTACATGTGAATGAGGTTAATATGTTTGTATTTTCTACTAGTACGTTTCGGATGGAGTCTGGTAAGTTTGTGTGTGTGTGTGTTTAAATTGGTTCTAATAGAACTGTGGTTAGACAGGTGTAACGTAAGGCGCCTGGATAGTCATGTAGTCGTGTGACCGACATAATTATTTATGAATTTGGTTTGATCAGGAACACAGTTCCTTAAGAGATACTTCACCTCCTAGATAATATTCGTTCCTTGTAATTTTGACTTTGCTGGTGTGTTGTTATATTTGCGGATAAGGTTAGCTGTTTTAAATTTTTTGAAGTAGATGAGTTTTTATTCGGGACAATTGGGGTAGTGTATTTCTTTTTCTTGTTGGCTTGTTGCTGAAATAACACCAGTAAATACAGAAAAAAATCTTGTCTTCGAACACAAGAAAAATTAAATAAAAAGCTTATTCCTAGTACCTTGTCTGTCGTTTTTAATGAAACATGCAGAAATGAAGGATTGCTGCCTAAATACACAGTTATATATATATATATATATATATATATATATATATATATATATATATATATAAGCAAATTATCTGTTCTGAATAAGACTTGTGTTTTTATGTCCATCGTATTTGTCATATTGAACTGAATTGTATTTTGATGAATATTGTCTTGAAAAAAGTTTATTAAACCGAAACGTCAGACGTCGACATTTCTTTTCATATATATATATATATATATATATATATATACCACCCACACACACATACACACACACACACACACACACACACACACACACACACATATATATATATATATATATATATATATATATTTTACTAATTTAAAAATATTGTTCCATTGTATTGAGCACTGTATGTTTAAAAATAAAATAATTAATAAGAACAATGGATTGTAAATCTTACTGTTCTTTCTCATTATATATATATATATATATATATATATATATATATATATATATATATATATATATATATATTAGTGCGTAGGTATGCAGAAAATAGAAAAGAACACGTTGGGTGCATAATCCGGGGTTCCTTAGTATTTTTTTTTTTATTTTAAGAAGACAGTGCTCCATACAGAAGTAGAGCTTATATTATAATAATATTTTTTCTTTAAAAATATGATTTCTTCGCTACATAAGAGTTGTCATGTTTCAAAAACAAGAGCCGAAATCATCCAAATAATTATTAAAATTAAGTTGGATTGTGGTGTTTAGTCCCCTTTCATCTTCAAGCGGTTTACGTGTATTTTTAGGCTCGGTCCGTTACAGAATTCGTTATTGTGGGAGTGGTTAGGCTATTTTCCTTCGTTAAGTGGTCAGAGAGTTAATTCTTATCAATAGATTCATCATCTTCTGAGCGGTTTTGCTAAGGTTGGGTAGGGTATCTATTTCAAGGCTAATGTTTGCGGTCACCCTTTAGTTCGTCCCCAGTGAGGGATATTTTTATGGCGCGCCTACAATCGTTATGTGTCTGGAGAATTGTCTTTTATTATTGTCCATCTGATTATCTATTTATTTATTTGTTTATTCAAGTGGGTGTTTTATATACAGATCGCATTGCACTGAATTTCAATTTGCTTTTTTGTTTTTTGACGACTACAAAAAGGGTTTTTCCTATTTAATGATTTGGCTGGGCTTTTAAGAATTTTACTTAGCTATGGAATTTTTTTTTATGCTAATTATTTAATGCGAAAGTTTGTTGATGTCGGCAAAAAACCGTTAACTCCTGCGTATGGTTTAATAATTTTTCATTATTTAGAAATTTAATGATGTGTAGTTTTTCCTGTAAGCATAAAGGGCATGGGTCATCCCAGGTTTTACAGGTTCTTGTTTTATTTACTATTTTCCATTTTACTTTTGGTGATTTATTCGTTTCTTTTAGATGCCAGGAATATTGGGATAGAGATGTAACGGGATTCAACTTAATTTTAATAATTATTTGGATGATTTCGGCTCTCGTTTTTGAAACATGAGAACTCTTATGTAGCGAAGGAATCCTATTTTAAACCAAAAAATATTATTATATATATATATATATATATATATATATATATATATATAATATATGTATGTACGTATATAATGACTTCTTTTGTATATATTCCTATGTCATTATCATTTGAAATATATAAGTAAATTTTCAAATATGTATGGAATTTCGAGCCTGTGTCTGTCTAACTCTATAACTTTTATCTAAATATATTCATGTACCTGAGAACGCATGCGCGATTTCGTGTGCGATTTTCCCGCGCGTGCGTCCATCTGTTTGTTTGTCTTTCCATTTTCGTACAAACATCCGCACAAAGCTTATATATTTCAGTGTGTGTGTGTCTGTGTCTTAGTGAGTGTATCTTCAGAAGACCTTCACTAATATTATGCGCGTAGATATGCGTTACACGAGTTTTTATCCGTTAGCGAGTCAGGCGGCAACTGGCATCGAAGTATAAAAACGTGTATTATGAGAAAGAGAGATACGAATTGACGCAGCAGGGAGTCGGTTCCAGGTGTGACATCCCCAGTTTCAAAGATACGGCTCGCCAATATTGAGTATAGCCGAAAACCAAAATGCCAATATGGGGAGTTCACACGCAGTGTTTAGCCACAACTGACTAAACAAAACAGGGAGTCAGTCAAAAACGCCATCTTTGATCGAGCCGGAAGCGATAAAACCGATGCAGCGTTCGTTACGAAAAGACGCATGCGTTGTGGAGATTTGCTGAGACCAAAGAACTTGGCTCTATTCCTTCCGCGTTTTTTAGGGACTTGCATTTCGTTTGTTCCATATCTGCGGGGCAACTGGTTCCATATGAAAGGCCCTTGTAGTGACTTGTGAACATATGGCTCCAAGCAGACTGTGGCGTTTTAGTCACACGGTTATTTTTGCACACATACATACGTAGAATGTTAAGATTGTGTCTCTGATTTCGACATGGAAATATTCCAGTCATTTTATATGTAAGCCTGTACATTATCTATCTATCTATCTATCTATCTATCTATCTATCTATCTATATATATATATATATATATATATATATATATATATATATCAGTCTGTTCGTATCTAAGAATGTGTATCACTATTTCTCTCTCTCTCTCTTTGTCATTCTCTCTCTCTCTAGTCTGTTCATATCTATCTCAGGGTGTTCATCCCTTTTCTCTCTATATATATATGTGTGTGTGTCTATCTATCTATCTATCTATCTATCTATGTCTCTATCTTTTTTTGCCTGTTTATCTGTCTATTTATATTTACATCAGCGTATTTATCCCTCTCTTCCACTCTCTCTCTCCCCCTTTCTCTCTCTACCTATCTATCTCTTTTTTTCTATATATGTCTTTCTGTAGTTTCAATTTGTGTATTTATACCATAGTTTATTCATATCTATCTATCTATCTATCTATCTATCTATCTATCTATCTATCTATCTCATTCTCTTCATATCTATCTATCTATCTATCTATCTATCTATCTATCTATCTCATTCTATTCCTATCTATCTATCTATCTATCTCATTCTCTTCATATCTATCTATCTATCTATCTATCTATCTATCTATCTATCTATCGCATTCTCTTCATATCTATCTATCTATCTCTCTCTATCAGTTTTTTCATATCTGTCTATCTATCTATCTATCTATCTATCTATCTCATTCTCTTCATATCTATCTATCTATCTATCTCTCTCTCTATCTATCTATCGCATTCTCTTCATATCTATCTATCTATCTATCTATCTATCTATCTATCTATCGTATTCTCTTCATATCTATCTATCTATCTATCTATCTCTATCAGTTTTTTCATATCTATCTATCTATCTATCTATCTATCTATCTATCTATGTCCGTTCATATATATCTACAAGGGTAAATCAAAAAGTATCCATAACATATATCTTTAATTTGTAACACTGCCTTCTGCGCATGCGTGTTTATATTTATATTAGGTACTACTGTTGATCAAAGTTTGAGCTTGATCGCGCCAGTTTTCTTGAGGCTATTACAGTGTACACATGGCCGCTCCGCTAGCAGCAGTTACAGAGAATAATCCGATTTTTCTGTTCGGAAGTTGTGTCAGAGGGCTGAAATTCACCGAAGACATTTAACACAATACAGGAATAGCAGACTACCGCATAGAAGTGTGTAAGAGGAGATCAAGAATTTTAAAAGTGGCCGGTCAAGCGTAAAGCAGGATGAAGGAGCAGGAAGCTCGTCAACCTCTACCCGTGACGAGATTTAGCAAACTCGAGAAAGAGATGGTAATGGCGAGCCCGCTCGTATATCATCGTTGAGGTACCATGTTGTCAGCAGATTCTGATCAATCATTTTATTCCTCCTTGCTGTACACTACTAGCGAAGCGGCCATGTTTACACTGTAACAGCAGAAAGAAAGTTGGCGCGATCAGACTCAAACTTTGATACCACAAAAGTATCAACTATAAGCACGCATGAGCAGAAGAGAATATGGCAAACCCAAAGAGATGTTATGGCCAAAGTGCTTATAATTTATTTTACTTACACTTGTATTTATCTCCTCCTCTTCATATCTATCTATCTATCTATCTATCTATCTATCTATCTATCTATCTATCTATCCCAGTCTCTTCATATCTATCTATCTATCTATCTATCTATCTATCTATCTATCTATCTATCTATCTATCTCAGTCTCTTCATCTATCTATCTATCTATCTCAACCTGTACACTTTCAAATTGTTTCGGTTTATATGTCTACTTCTCTCTCATTCTCTATAATCCTTTTAATCTATCCATGTCTATATTTCTGAGATGAGGCATTATGTACACTATTTACATTATTCTGACTATTGTACTCATCTTTGTCGCCATCTTACAACGTTTCGGCCGTTGTATGCTTCCCAAGGACACATGGCACAGTAGTTAAAGGCGTTAGTTAGATCCAGTGACCGGACCCAAAGAGTGTGAGTTCAATACCCGGTTAAGGCGGTGGAGAACTTGGAAAGAGGAATCAACAGGAGATAACTGATAACTGACATCAATTGGACAGGGCGCGTGGAGCTAGAACAGTTTACCCCCGTGAGCGAAATAAAGGGTTCAGTTCGACATTCCAACCCCTTGAAGAAGTACAACGGCCGAAACTTTGTGATAAATATGGCGACAAAGATGATGACAATAGTCTGAATAATGTAAATAGTATCTATCTATCTATCTATCTATCTATCTATCTATCTATCTATCCCAATCTGTTCCTTATCTATCTATCTATCTATCTATCTCAACCTGTATGCTTTCTGTCTCGGTTTATATGTCTACTTCTCTCTCATTCTTTATAGAACTTTTAATCTATTCATATCTAACTATATTACTCTGATCTTACGGTTATAATTACAGGTTTGGTTGATTTTGCTTAGAAGCATAAAAACCTCTGTGGTTTATTTAATGCCAAAATCTAAGTATTTCGAACACAATTTTATGACTCAACTGTAGATAAAACGTATATTTGTTCATTTTCCTATAAAAAAGTATTGTTGTTATATGTTGTTTTTATATAAAAGAAATGCTAGTAATATTACTATATAAAATGTATTATTCTTTCATGGTCTTTTGTTTGGGGATTCATATTTGGCCCTAGCTGGGACCCGAACAGGTGCTACCACCCCGAATAATGACAGGGAACACTTATGTTTATTAGAAGTTCCTCCTGCAAGTTAATTGACGGAAAGAAACAATTATGAAACTTTAAGCTAGACCATATTTATTCAAGACACTGTTCCTTCAGAATTGGTCATTTTCCATCGTGCTAAAGAAATGGTAACGAAGACATTAATAGAATGATCAGCAACTTCTCCAGATTATTCCAAGAGGGAACTCGTAGACCGTCATCTGTATCTATCTATCTATCTATCTATCTATCTATCTATCTATCTATCTATCTATCTCAACCTGTATGCTTTCTGTCTCGGTTTATATGTCTACTTCTCTCTCATTCTTTATAGAACTTTTAATCTATTCATATCTAACTATATTACTCTGATCTTACGGTTATAATTACAGGTTTGGTTGATTTGCTTAGCAGCATAAAAACCTCTGTGGTTTATTTAATGCCAAAATCTAAGTATTTCGAACACAATTTTATGGATTCAACTGTAAATAAAACGTAATGTTCTTCATTTTTCTATAAAAATATATTGTTTATGTTTTTTATAGAGAAATGTATTACTAATAATTTTACTATAAAATGTATTATTCTTTCATAGTGTTTTGTTAGGGGATTCACTATTTGACCATAGCTGGGACCCTTACATGTGCTACCACCCAGAATAATGACAGGGAATACTTATCTTCATTAGCAATTCCTCTTGCATGTTATATGGTCGAAAATTCTGAAGAGAACTTTCTGGTCCATCGCACTTCATATGCGTTCACTGGCGTTGAGATCTTGGTGGTGGGGGTAGTGGCCATGGTTGTTCAGTGAAGTCATTTTTCATGTTGTTGAAACCATTCCAGTACAGTGAAGGCAGCGCATCCGAAAGCACTGGCTCGAGTAAAGATGTTACAAATATCATAGGAGATTGCGTAGATCGTTTTCAATAAATGAATTAAGGGTTACTCAACGAACCACTTTTCACATAAAGGAGAGAATCCAATCTTTTCATTAAAATTGCGCAAACATTCGCTTTGTCTTTAGAGCTTTGTTGTTTTTCGACATTACATCCTGGTGCCATCGCTTTACCATTTTAAAGACGACCACGAAGGTTATCATTTGCATTGTTCAGGAGAAAGTGAAACTCATCATTAGTCAATATTCCATTAATACAATTTCCATTTACAACAGCTAAGTGTTCACAAATGACTCTTTCGGGGATGGACATTGAATAGCAAACGCATTCTGACTGGCCTGCGGCTACAATGTGCCAGGAATTGAGACGGTGTAGTGCAGGTCTTCCTATAAAATGATTAAGCTATCGCTATCTACAAATTGTGAAACAGGCGGTGCTAAAATGACTACAGTAATTTATAAATGTAATAATGAAGAAGGCGTGTAGGTATATGGTAGGATATTTTGAGTGTCTAGAAAACCTCTATGATGGAAAATGCATTTAGGTTAGCAATATTATCCGATATGAAGCCTTTCACATGCGCTTGGACATCAATCTTCGTGACGAAAGCAGGTTATATAGTCTTCACTTCATGACAATTCTTAGAGTGAAACCTAGTCTTATGTACAAATTTGAGTCATAAATAATTATTGGTTTATAAATTTTATTCTTAAAACAATATAAAATTATATTTTATTTATTTAATGAGTGGGGCAGAAACACCTCCCACATAATGGTAATCACTAGTAAACGATGTCTTAATTTATGTAAATGTTTTACCATTATGTACGAGGTTGTTTAGAGAAGTATATATGGAAGGTCTTTCTGCCGCACCTTGTATATATTCAGTATTATTTACAATTTGTTACCTCTTATCATTCAACTCAGCAATAGGTTTTGTGTCGAATTCCGCAGGTTTTGTTGTGAAAAAGCTTTCGTTGAATTTTTGAATTTTGTATTAATGAAAAAAGGTTTTCTCATGAAAAGATTTTTAGCAGCTATCAAAACAGACAATATGGCGGGGCTGGGTATCACTGATCAACAGCGTACATTTTTTCCTCTATTATGTTTTGCTAATATCTGATCTGGTGTTGCCATGATAGAGAATAACATTAACATCCACGGTGTTCGCTGCCATCATTGACGATTGCGGAAATATGTGGCTGACTTATTTTCCGCAATCGTCATTGATGACCTGTCTATGTTCTGGTTTATCATGACATGGAATAAATATAATTCACCCACCCCGACCCACTGAGGTTACTTTTCTATTTAGCATAGATCTGACATTTAATTGGTTAATCAAGGCATACCCAGAATTTTATTTTTAATTCTGAATTTATGCCACCCTTTAACTTTCGAAAAAGTAGTAATAATTTGTTTTTAAATTTTCTGTAAAAAATCCTTTAATCACCATTTACTTACCATCGCCTGAAGAAGTACTATGATAATATTGAAACATGAAAGCTTTTGTTTAGCGATTTCAACATGTTTTTTTTATATCTATATGTCTCTTTTTCTATATAGGTATGTTTATCCGTGTTTTGAATGTGTTCATAAAGCGGGCAAACATAAAGAAAAAGAGAGCGTATATGTAATTTCTCTAATTATTCAGAATTGGTTGAATTTTCTTAATTTTAAGCAAACACGAACTGGAAGTATTCGACAGATATGGTGCCATTTTGATAGCAATCAAGTACAGTTTAAAACATTTAAAAAATATCAAGTTAAAGAGTCACAGCTCAGAAATTGTTCTCTCCACAGAATATAGCAACAGGATTAGAAATAAACCTGAAAATAAATTGTATCTTAAACGAACGAAATGTGAATACATATTAGAAAATATGTGATATGAAAAAATATTATTGAAGTGATTTAAAATGCTAAAAGATATGTTTTATTTTTAAATATTGTAACATATAATATGGCTGCGAGGTAAGTGAACACGCCAATTTGATTCTAAGTGTAGGATAGCAAGCGTGTTTCTGGCGAAAGATCTTTGTTTCTTTTTTGAAAGTCGTCAGTGTGATTGGTATAGTTAATATCGGTTGGACGTGAGCAATTTTCGAAAATGGGATAAGATGAGTATCAAGATGTGGCACCTCGCCAAGCGTTCACTGGTTGGTCGCCATCACATCCCTTTGCCACTCGATTTCTAGCGTGATCGTGCGTAGATACGAAGAGCTCACTTTTCGAAGTGAGATTCTTGATTTATCTGTTCACGAAGAAAAAAAAAGACGGTTTGATTTTGCACGAGATCTCGGTCTAGCTCGGCGAATCAGAGTGTCTACCTGTCTGTCAGCTCTCACGTTTCCGCCATTTTGACTCTTTACCGTATCTACACATACATATGTTTACAGAGACAATTTTTTCTTCTGTTTCTGTGCTTGCGTAAGAGAAAGATGTGTGTGTGTGTATGTAATTTTTTTTTTTTTTCCTTTTTGTTCTTAATCGAGTCTATTTCCACTCTGTAAGTTTTCATTTTTTGTCTTGTGCTTTCGTTCGTTGATATTTTTTTTCGTTCGTTCGTTCTTTTCTTCATTTTACGTTTTCTTTCTTCTTTTTCTTTTCGCATGAACTTCATTTATTTTTCTTTCCTTTTTTTAATTTCTTTTTCAAGACTTTTATTCATCAAATAATTCGTCTTCGTTTCTCTCTTTCTTTTGTTATTTTTTTCATTAAATTTCTTCTTGCTTTTCATTAACCAATTAATTTTCTTTCTTTCATTCTTTCTTATATTTCTTTCTTTCTATCATTCATTCATCCTTTCTTTCATTCTTTCTTTCTTTCTTTCATTTTTTCTTTCTTTCATTCATTTAATCATTCTTTCTTTCTTTCTTTTTTCTCACTTTCATTCATTCATTCTTTCATTCAATAATTCAATCATTCTTCCTTTCTTTCTTTGGCTTATTGAAACACCGGTTCCTGTACGATCACTGAAGTTAAACAACGAGCCTACATCGAGCCATTCAGGAAGAAACTTGGATGTCGGGGTGGTTTAATGAATAATGGCCGGTGATTGTTAATCGTATAGCCGAGTTCCAATTTCCTTTTGGTTCGTTATATTTAAATCGGCGCAATTACACTTGGGAAAAGTATTTTCATTTTCACTGGATAAATAAATGACTTATATCACTAAACCATTATTATGTAAAAAAAATTCTTACAAATTAAAAATATTTTCTGCCTTTAAATAACCTGAAATGGGTTGATAAGCCGTAAAAAACGAATCAAACAATACTTCATTAAGCCTTGCGCTTCCTGTATACTTTTAACTTTTATTGATTTACTTAAACCTCTGTAAAACACTTTCTGATATAAAACCATTAGCAATGGATTTACATTTTATACTAACTTTACTTCGTCAGTAATTCATGTAGGAATTATTGATCATCGCTAATCTGTCTTCTTGTTTTTAAAGTAGTTCTGCAGCAAAATTATAAGTAACCTATTTTATTTATATACATATGAGTTTTATTATTTATTCCTTCCTGATTTTCAATGCATTTCTATAATAAAAAGTACAGGACTTACATTAGATACAATAATCCGTGAACATAGCATAATGGCTTTCAACAGTTAAACTGAAAGACGTTGCCTGACGAAAATTTTCGACAGCATTCGACACAAAGAATTGGCAAAGTATTGATGGAATCAAGAAACAGTCAAGAAATTTTTCAGAAAGCCCTTTCACGTAATTAATATTAGGTTGGATTTCGTGAAGGCTTCTAATATTAAGAGTCCGTCTCTGTGTAGATATTTTCAATAGAAAATCCGTTTTATTATAAGATATCATTTTACATGAGAGGTGTTCATTTCCATCTCCAGTCTGCGGTTAATCAAGCGTGGATGAACGGATTTATTTTATTTGCACCCAATTAATATTGGAGTAAATTCTCCTTCAAGAAATAGATGTATAAAATGAATCCATTCAAGGGTAATACTGACATTTGTGACACATGATTAAGCAACTATGGTCAGGTCGGTTGCTTTTACTCTCACACGATTTAAAGAGAATCTTTATCGACAACGTTTAATCAACTGCATATCGTCTCCTTATTCCTGAATTTCTATTAAACAATTCTTTTTCGAATATTGTCTTCATTTCCTCTTTAGCTTAACCCGTATTTCTTATTGAAATAATGAATAAAAAAATGCTTATTATTATTAAATTTACTTATTTTTTCGGACTGTTGCCCTCATCATTATTCACAACATTTCGGCCATTGTATGCTCCGGTCTTCTTCAGGTTATATACGTTGGAATTTCGTGAACCCTTTATTTAGTCCATAGGAGTAGACTGGTCTAGATCCACGCCATGCCTTTATTCATTTCCCTATAGTAACTCAACTCTCAAAGTTTTGTTCACCTCTGCTGTGGCCAGATATCGAACTCAC